TAATCTAAATTGCATATTTAAAATGAAAATTATGTACCAAAAACACCTATACAAAAGTAAAATAGAGTTAACTTCCATTGAGACTTCAAGAGCAATAAAATAAAAGACCAACACATAGGTACTAAATTTATTTTTTTATGTATATTTCTTACTTACTGTTATAAAAGTAGCATAAATGTAACCCTTAGAAACTTGTTAGGTTAGATAAGAAAAATTAAATAAAAAACAAACTTTAAATCTTGAGCATGTCTTCTGAGTGCATCATCTTATAAATAAGACAAAGCATGTTGGTAACTCAGATGTATGTTTACACAGACCTCATTGCTGTGTTAATTTGTTTTGGTACTAATCTAAGTGGCAATATAGCAATAAATCTAAGTGACATGAAGATATGAATTGTATTAGCTTTGGCTGTAAGAAAAAATAGTGTGTAATTGTCTTTAACAATATACAGACATTCTAGAAAGGAAAAAAGTAATTTAAATTTATTTCATATTTTCTGTGGTGATTATTTACAAGGTCTGTCAAATGGACTGATTCTGTATATAGTGTGTAGAGGAAATAACAGATTAAATGTAACATTTTATTGAAAAAACTTTTAATATTCATTTAGGAGGCTCTAGAGGTTATGCAAATGAAACTTAAAACTGTAAAATAAAGTATTTTTAATCTTAGCATGAAAACATTTTGCACTCAGCCTTCTCAGAATCTGACTCCCTAAATTCACAGACAAATCTTTAGTAAAAGTACCTGATTAAAAAATCTGATTTTCTGTGTATAAATTATTAATAAAAGCTTGCAACTTCCTTGAAGATACACTTACTACATTAAAAGTTATAGTATGTATAGTTTCATGGTTACATGGAGGTTAAAAGCTCAGTCAGAATGACTGAGCCTGTTTATGGAGAGTTAATTTTTTGTTGCAATTCAGTTGAAGTGTGGTAATTTTCATTTACAAATTTCATCTACAATTGACCCTGTTGGGGGGAGGGGGGGGTAACATTATATGATTCTTGATGCAAACTTCTTTTACTCTTTAATTATAAAAGCATGTAAGTAATAATGTTGTATTGTTTTAAAGAAAAGGACAACTATAGTGTTAAACTATATGAACAAAACAAGGGATGGCATGATTATAGTAAGGAAAGAAGAACAAACCCTAACCAACTATCAATCATACACTAAAGGAAAATGTTAAACAGTTTGTTGCTGTAAGTAATTCCAGAACAGTGGTTATTGCAATTGAAGTAGGAACCTATCTTGAAACTGTAAACAAGATCATTTCCATAGGATGAGGTGTAGAAAAGCAACACAACACAAAGCATGGCTGAATTGAATACCAACTGTTAAAAGTTGTATGAGCAGTATCTGGTGCATAACAATGGAAGTGTGTCATAACGCTGTATGAAGCATATGTATTCTTATGTGTTTACAAAAGTCTGGATAATTTATTATTCTACTGCTGATAAAGGATTTAAAAAATTGTACAGGGCATGCAATAGCAATAACATAGTAAGATGAATTCTGCATATTATTATACTATAATGGATGTAGCATGTGTGTCAGTATCTATGTATGTAACCAAAACTCCTATGTCATTTGTTGAATGGCACCAAAAACAAAAATATATAAAGACATTTCACACTTTGGGTATTCAAGGTTCAGACAATTAGAAAAATAACTGTGGTATGTGCAACAACCATTTCTTTATAATAGAACACCATTTTATATAAAGGTACTCTCCTCACAACAAGAACATGACTTTCACAAGGACTGGATGTGAGAGTTTGATTATGTATATCTTTATTAACAAAATTCTTAAATATAGCACTGAGAAACTGGAGTTCTTAAAAAAAGTTTTTTTTTCAATATACAGTACCATTTTTAATATATAAAAATATTACATTTTATATCAATAAAATGTACATTGAATCATTTTGATTTATTGAGTTGCATATGACTGAAGAGCACAATCCGAACACTTTTCCCTTGCTGTACTTCCTAGAAATAAAAATCCTTTTTTCCAAAATGCTAATTTTTTTCAGTGAGGTATAGATACTACAATTAATAATTACTAGCACAGACAGTTTCCTGTATGACCATGTTTCTGCTAGTCAGACTAATGAGCTAACACCACCATACTGTGAGAAAATTACATTCTTGTATGAATGGAATGGCAACAAGTCCAAATATTTAACTAGACATCACTGTCAACATACCAGTTCCTCTACAAGGAACAAATACCTTTGAGATTTCATGCTATACCTTTTACAGGTAATTTCCTTAGATTTCTATGCCTCTGAGTAATTTAATCAGGCCCCTTTAAGTTGTCATCCATGCATGTTTAATTAATTCACCTCAGTGTAATGTGCCATTGCTTCTTTGAAAAATGACTTGGTGTTTATAAAAAGGAAACTTGTTAATCCTAAGGCATTAACAACAAAAACTCCTTACAGCTAGAGTAATAATCTTTACCTTATAGTTTACCCATTGGCACTTTTACAACATTGACTACTAGTAAAAGTAAATAAAAAATAATGTTAATAATCTTAATTCACCCCTATCACTGCCATGATAGGATCAATTTGAAGTTCATCTTGGTAGTTGTTTGACATTATAATTAAAAAAAGGCAAGCTTGATAATCAAAGTTTAATAATGATTGTGTCATAATTTTCTATATTAACATCGGTGAACCAGTTTTATTATCTTTCTCGTTTGTGGAAGTTTGATTTATTTACATATACTTACAAGTTACAAAATCTAATAATATAATTATGTAGACATTTGATCTAAAATTAAACTACTAGGCTTTATAGATTAACTTTAGGCTGGATCCTAATAATGTATTAAAAAGATTTTTTCTTAATTAGATTTATAAGCCTTGTTATGAATAATGTTACTATGGTGAAGAGGACCACCAGTAAGATTTTGACAGTTTAACTATATATTGTTAAGGCCATTTTTCAGTTTTGATATTTGTTTATTTTTCAAAGTATCATAGTTTGCACTTTTAGATTGTAAAAATATGTCTAATAACATGGAATTTTTTTCACTTATTTATGGAAGTTGGTAATTTTCCTTGGGGTTTTTAAGTTTGTTTCTGATTAAAAGTTTGAAACATCTTTTTTCCTTGGGCAAAAGGATTTTGGAAATGTATTGTGATAACTGATATCTCTTTCATCTGTTCAATTTCAAAATTACAGTGAGGAGTAGATATAATTAAGCTTTGACATGTCTATTTTCTTTTAAAATTGTTTTATTTCCAAAGTTGTAATACACTTTGTAATGTAATGTTGGAGTTGTAATTTATTTGAAAAAGAACAGAGCTGTGTGTATCTGTAAGTATGAATAATGTACACATACACCTGAAGAACACAAAAACACTAGTAAAACACTTTCAATAAAATTAATTACAAACTTGGACTTTTTTTATATATTTATTTTTATATACTTCTTGCCTTAATTTGTTAAGGATGCAGAGTCACCTCCTCTCAAGAAAAAGAAAAAGAAGAAAATGAAGAAAAAGTTGGAAAAAGAAATGAGAGGAGAGAAGTTGAAAGAAAAGAAGAAGAAGAAAAAACATCTGTATCATCCAAATCATTTATGGGCTGTCCAGTCACATTAGAATCCATTCTTATCCCTAAGACTCAGCAATTCTCTAAATCTGAAGAGGTTTTAAGCAGGAAATCAAAGTCATCTGTCTGTGGTGTGTCTAAGTCTACCAAAAATGTTACATTAGTGAATGGAAAGAAGGTGAAAGATGTGAGTATTATATGAACATATTAATTTGAAGGTGATACACACCTCTTCACAGTGAAAGCTATTTTTCCCATACATCTGCATAGATTTGCATGCTACTAGCCTTTAGGCACCTCCCACCTAATCTCACGAGTATGTTACATATTGAGAATTTGAAATAATCCAAAGCCACATTAAATAATTTAACTTTTAATAGTTGAACTGTACTCTGGATTTAGTGTTTAGAAATATGTTGATATTTTATTTAATTTACGCTATTTTCCAACAAGATTGATTCACACTGTTTTTGTTTTGACACAAATACGTTTTAATATAAATATACAACAGTATAATTAACAATGGCAACTATTACGATTAGTTATAACAAACAAAGTTTCATAAACAGAAATTTCACTAACTTACAAATAACCTAAAATCATCTTCATAGTTCAGTTCCCTTGATATCTAGCGAGTTAACTTGAAGTCGATGTACATACAATTATCGGGAGGCTAGCTAGCTTTGTCATGCACTGAATTGTTGGACCATCGAAGTAAGATGATATTTTCATAAAACCACTAATGTCTGATGAGAAACCAGCAATATTTTTGGAAAGATACTAATGTTTGATGAGAATTCACTGATGTTCAAAATTTATAGCTGTTCCTGGCCAAATGTTGTATATTTTCCGGTTGGTAAGGGCTAATGAAATCACAGCTTATCGCATACACACGGTTATAACAGTTTCATAGCAGACTTGTATATTAGCTCTCTTCTCTGTTGTTTTTATAGACGGGACACATTTTCTCAAAACTTCGGATAATACTGGTTACGGAAGTGGATATATTGTTGATTCCTGTGTTCATGAATATTCTACAATCTTGGATAATTGGCGGGAGTTTCTCATACTTAACTAACAGGGTAAGCTAGACATGCCCTCAAATATAAACTTATTTGAAACAAACATTGACACGGAAATAAATATATAACAAATTCGTTATACGCAACACATATTTGATACTACAAGTCCCACGTATTTCTAAATACAAATTCAGTACAAACAACATTCATATTAAAAATAAATACATAATGATAAATTCGTTACACCATGCATCTGCCTTAGAGATTTGCATGCTACTAGCCTTTAGGCAATTCCCACCTAATCTCACAAGTTCCTTATGAATTATCCTATTGCATAATGACGTTATGCAGCAAAAGCCCTTGGTCAAAAAGAAGGGTGACATAACCTCCCTGTGCACTAACTCCATCTATACTTTTGCACTCATGGATTTTCATTCTTTTCCTCAAAACTGAATGCATCAGATGTGTTTTTCTTATGAGATTTGCAATGTTTAGGGAACTTAATTTCCTTCCTTTTGTTCTTCAAACTATGAGGGAAATAGTTCACGTAACACCTTCTGCTACTTATGTTAGTGACTGATTTCCTCATAGGTTATCTAACTGTTATGGCACATTCACTGGGAATGACATGGTGGCCATTGTGAATAGGGTAGTTGGTTACCTTATGCTGCCAGGACCTTCAGTTCCAGTTCCTTCTTCAGGTGGTCCTTCTCATTTTGTGAGGAGAGTGAGGAAGACAAATTTGATTGTTCCTTCACCTGGTTATGCTTTGGGAACTTCTTTCCCTGTTAAAGAAAAACTTTAAACTCGCATTCTAAGGACTTAGTTTCTCTGATATTCACCTTTCTTTTTCTTTCCTACATATCCTATTCTTTGT